TACGTAAGATTACATTTATATAATTTGCTGATGTATAAACATTTTTACAAACTTTTACTATTTTAGAAAACTTGTTTCTAAAATAGATCTTTTGGTTTAGATACTAAATATTTTGAAGAGTTTACTATAAAAAGAAAGTTTAATTTTAAAAAAACTATTTTAGTTATGTCTGCTTCTTGATATTTTATATTTTTCAAGCTTTGTTAATAATAATTTACTTAATATAGACTTGTTCTCAAATTAATCTTCTGGTTTAAATACTAAATATTCTAAAAGTTTGCTAAAAATAAAAAAGCTTAATCCAAAAAAACTAAGTTATATCTCCATCTCAGTATTTCATATCTTTTAAGCTTTGTTAATAATAATTTATTTAAGATAAAATTAAAAATAATATCTGTCTTAGATACACTTCTTTACACTCTCCCCAACGATCACTTAAACCAACTAGCACCAAAATCAAGTTGAAGATTCAAGGCCAGAAGTTAACAACAACTTGAAGTTTTCTTGATACAAACTGTTGTTGATGAAGTTTTTAAACGTGATACACCAAGGAGCAGGTGTTTTGAATAGTTTGCAAAGGGGTCAAGCCTTGTTTGCTTGCTTTTCAGGTGGACTCCCTTTTGTATTGGCATCCAAACCAGAGGAGTCTCTAAAAACAGCAAGTAGAAAAAAAAACTCAGAAAGTTTGAAGACCAAAGGATACAACGAACTCTTGGAAAAACTCTCTTTAGTTAAAAACTCACAGTATAAACTTTCCTTGCTGCTTTGATGCTCCTAAAACTATTTTTAACAAAAAGTGAAGGATTAGGCTACCTCTGTCAAAAGATCAGCATTGTTTACTACTTCTATATTTGGTGACTCTGTGATATGAATACAATAAACATGTGGCCAACATAGGAAATAATTTATTTTTTATTTAGAAACATAAACCTGAACATTAAGGATTCAAAAGGTTTTAAGAACTTATATACCAAGTAGACAAGACGAGATAAATACAGGGAAAATACGTGAAGTCAATTTATTTATTATACTTTGAAATAAAATATAGATTTAAAAATTGGAATGATAAAGAGAATTTGAGATATGCAGTTCAAAAGTCATATGTATATAATTTTTAGACCTTAGTACAAGTTAAAGTGCATTTAGTTGGTTTTTTTTATATCAGTTGAGTTTTATGTAATTACTATGATCTTGTAAATATGTATCCTGGTTATACATGCTAATGAAATTATTTTGGAGTCTAAAACCCGAAATTAAAATTTGAAGATGAAATTGTTTTTGATCTATTTTACTTAAAAGATGAAATTTTTTGACACTTTTTTTGAAGAGACGAAATTATAAGAAATATAATTACCTAAATTAGATTTGCTCTTGCATATAAAAAATTCTAATTTGCTCTAATAAAGATAAAATAGTGATTTTTTAAAAACCTATTTCGGTGACATGTATAATCCTGATTAGCAGATATCAATTTGTTAGTTAGTTTCTAAAGTCTTGTATTGTATTATTTTTTTTTACCTTCTTTTAGTAGTACTCACTTTCTTATTTATTCTTTTTTTAAAATATCCTCTTCTTATATTTCTCTTACCCTATTTTGCTTTTTGAATTTTTTTGTTTTTAGAAATTTTTTTTCAAATTGGTGATATATTATATAGGGCAGTGATCCTAACAAGGTTGGTGGGCACCTACTGCAGACTCTTGGAGTATAAATTCTCAGTAAATTGGAAATTCCAGATGAGATAAAGAAGAACCATTTAGGCGGGTCACACATGGGTCTTTCTTGTAGAATCTATTTATAAGTTTTTGTTTTATAGACCAGGTGACTCTTTATTAGTATAGGCATATGTAGTTCTACTAGATAGTTTAGCCACTACAGGGGTATTCTATGCTGATTAAAATAATAAAAAGAGGATTGCTAAAACAAAAAAACAAAAAAAAATATCTGTCTTAAATATTTCTATAATATTTTACTATAGTTTAGTTTTTATTATTGTTGATTAGAAAATTATTGAGAAGAGTCTTTGAAAAGTATATTATTTTTAAAATATATAAAATATTAACAATTGCTATTTGATACTTAGACAAATTTGTCTGAAACCTAAAAAAAAAATTTTCTATATAGATTGCAAGATCAGAAGAACAATTTTGTATAATATAAAGTTGAAAGCTTTTTCAAAACATTACTGATAACTCAAAATTTTGACTAAAAAATTACCTTTTATATTTTAATTAAAAAAATTTTTGGCCAAATTTTACTATATGTTCTTTTTTATTTTAACTCTAACCCTAACTCTAACCCTAACACTAGTCAAATTTTACAAAATTAATAAATTTAGACAAATTTGCTCCAGGCATCAAATAGATTTTTTCTAAAATATTTATCTATATAATTATTAAATATTTATTATTTAGAGATTTCTTTTTAATAATTCTTTAAGCTAAGTTTTTTAAAAAACTAAACTGCAAATAAAATAATATAGTTAATATATTTTTTACGTTCGGTACGTACTGTAATGTAATGTAGTATATATTTAGGACTAAGTTTGTGGCATAGTTATTTTCAGCAATAGTAAAGATTTATTTATATAAGATGTTTATTTATGACCAGCTATTTTTAGATTTAATAATTATCGACGGAAAAATATTAAAGTCTCAATATCGTACAAAATATTAGGGTTATCGAAATTTATATAAAATCTTAATTTCGTACGTACGTACAATTTCGTACATACAGTACAGTACGTACTGTGTAAGTAAGCAAGCTCTGTACACACGTATGTTCGTATGTACGTAGTGTTTAGCTCGATTAATTCGGATAGGTCATTGACATGTGGTTTATATTAAGATTATTGTATTATGAACGTTAACAGTTTGACATGATTAATGCATATGATAATGCATATATTTATTAATAAATTTTATATATAGAAATTTTACGTTTAATGATGTAATTTAATCACATGAACAAATAAAAGTTCCACCATGGAATTCGATAAAAATAAATTTTTTTTTTTAGATTAAATGCAAATAATTTTATTATTAAATATTGTCCGGAGCCTACTCAATTTCTATGTATACATTTCTATGTAAAGTGACGAAAGTTATGAAAGTGTGGAAAGCGATGAAAAAGTGATACGTCTGGTACATTTTTCGATAAAGTGATATAAAGTGATAAAAGTGATAAAAAGTGATAAAAAGGTATAAAAAGTGATAAAAAGGTATATAAAGTGATACAAAATGGTACAAAAGGCTAGTTTTGATGCATTTATAACAAGATTATCAAAAACGTAACTCTGACGTCCCCATTGCGTATTCGTGTAACCCAACTAATCATTAACATTATCTAAAAAACTTTTTATCACGTGAACTTTAATCTCGTAACAGTTATACGTAGTTAAAAAGAATTGATAATCTGAAAAATTCAATAATTCAAATATGAAACAAATCAAGTTTAACGTTAGAAAAATCTCTTATCGGACGGGATCTTGAAACGCCAAAAAAGAGGAAAAAAATTTCCGAAAAAAAAAACTTTAACCATATTATTATATAGCATAAAAAATCTTTTGATGTCAATATTTTAAAATAAATAAATAAATAAGGTCAATCAAATTATATAAGCATTTTACTCAAGATATTAGCCTTGTTTGTATTAGGATCCTGTTAAATTCTTTTCTGGAGACATGATTTACACAAGAAACAAATATTCTTTTCATCATTGCCAAAAATACCAAAGTACGTACGAAACAAAAAAAAATCAAATTAACAACAGAAAAGTATTAGGTAAACAAACAATATGAAGGAAGAAAATTTTGCATATTTTGGTGATGAACATTTATTATTGTATCACTTTGATATCTGTTGCCTATTGCAGTATTGCAGTATTGTAGTATTTTCGTTAGAATTAATTATAACATAAAGAAAAAGAATGTTTATTATCATATATTTATGTTTATATTTATATTAGAAAATTTTTTGCCTTTTTTTTTGAGGAGAAGGAAACCAGATTTAGAAACAAACCGTTCGAAATTTGATTTGAAAATAAAAAGTACCAATCAGGAATTCAGAAATTGCCGTACTAAATAAATTATGCGCACGTAACCGATAATCGATATGTTGACAAATGGGTTCAAATGGGAAATATGGCGTCAGATGAGCTTTTAAAGAATTTAAAAGTATTTGTAAAGTATTTGTAAAAAGTTTAGTTATACAAATGTTTGTATATATTTGGTTAATAAGTGGTTAATCTGTTTAATAAGTGGTTAAGTAAAAAAAAAAATTTTTTTTTTTTGATATATTTTAATATTTTACTTTGATTTTTATTTTTTATTATTATTATTGTCTTTAAGAAATAAATTAGTATAAACGTATTGGTTTCTTTAGTAATTTTTTTAAACCTTAAACCTTAAAAAAAAAACGTAATTATTTTTGTGCATATTTTATAAGAAAGAAATTTACAGATCAAAAAAAAAAAATAATTAACCTAGCTAACCTAATAATTTTATGATTTCGTAAGAAATTTTATCTATATATTAAAAAAAAGTAAATGATATTTTAAAACCCCCGGGTTTTTTTTTTTTTTTATGTACAAAAAAAGTACCGATATTTAAAATAGCGATATTCAGAAATAAAGGATTAATTTATACAATAAAAACGAAAATTTAAAACATTCTTCTTTAGGTAGTACTTGAACATTTATATGAGGAAAGAAAAAAAAAGTTTATCGAGACTAATGAAATTTTAAAAAAAGATTTTGCTTTATGAAAAAATTAAAAAAAATTTTTTATAGTTTATCGAGACTAATTAAATTTTTAAAAGATTTTGCTTTTTGAAAAAATTAATTTTTTTTTTTTTTTTTTTTGTGTTTGCGTTTAATCTATTATTACTTTTAATAAATGCGTCACGTGAAAGAATTTTGATTTAATTGTTCAGATTTAATAATTAAAAGGCGTTTGTGATTGCGTTACCGTGAATTTACGTATATATATATTATTAAAAGCGATTTAAAAATCATTATTCGCATGATGTTTGAACGATAGAGCGCAATCAATCGCAGAAAATATATCAATTGTAATTTCCGAAAGTTCATGTTGATTATCGTTAATCGACGAAGAAGAAAAAGGTGATCCGGGAGTTTGTGGGTTAGAATCATATTGACTAGAATCATATTGACTAGAATCATATTGACTAGAAAGAGAGTCTGTATCAAAAGGTGGTGTAAAGAATGACTGGTCATCAAACTGCCCATGAAGGTTTTCAAATATTGGTAAAGTTATATTTTCAGGAAATATTGGATTAACGTATTGTATGGTAGGTGAGGTTTCTTGAATGGATGATAAAGAATTTGGTACGTTCATTAAATGAATCATATCACAAGATGATAAATCAGACGATTCAGAACTACGGCGTGAAGGAGAGAGGGGTGGTAAACAAGATTCATTCATGCTTGTCCAATCAAAATGTTGTCCATCAAAAAGTACTTGTTGACCTTGCTTCGCTAATGGTGTATTCGCTAGTGTTGTATTTGCTAATGTATTCGCTAATGTTGTATTCACTAATGTTGTATTCGATAATTTTAATGTATTATCATTATCATCTTGTCCTACAGATTTGTTTGTATCGTTGGTAGAGAGATCATAACTTTCAGGAAGCCATGAAGGTTCAGGTTCAGGGGAAGATGAATTCGTTTGTATATTTGTATTATGTTCACGTTGTTCAAAAAAATAAGGTGGTGGTGAAGGTGTAGTAGTACCAAGAAATGTAGTAGTAGTAGTATTATTATACTCAGGGAAATAACCATCATGATATTGATTTTCATTTTGGAAATTAGAATCATTATCAGAACGGGAATTATCTACATCTTGATCATTTTCGGGTAAAGATAGTAAATCACAACCTTGACTTTGGTTGCTGGAATCTTTTGGCATTGCGATTGTTTGTACATATAACCTTTCAGCTTCACTTGAAATTTGAGTATAAGCATCTTTTACACAAGGAGGTTCTTGTTTCCAAGAATAAGAGATCATTGGGGATAATTCAGTCATAGGAAAATTAAGGCCACTAGCTTTTAAAAATTGAACATATTCATTTCTATACATAATAAAAGCATTTGGAAATCTTGCCAGCTTAGGTTTTGATATAAGTTTTTCAACAATTTTTTCTACACGAGTTGCTGGAGGATAAGGCAAAGGCAGGGGGGGCAAAATAGGTCGTTCCCTGTGAATATCGAGTTTGATCTTTTGTTCCCCACGCTGAAATAATTTTATTTTTTTCTGGGTATCTGTACGTTTGCTTGGCAATTTTTTCAC